TTCCATATTTGGGAAGTGAACTGTTTAACAAGGATTGTTCCATATTTGGGAAGTGGACTGTTTAACAAGGATTGTTTCTTCTTTGGGAAGTGGACTGTTTAACAAGAATTGTTTCTTCTTTGGGAAGTGGACTGTTTAACAAAGATTGTTTCTTTTTTGGGAAGTGGACTGTTTAACAAGGATTTTTCCATATCTGGGAAGTGGACTGTTTAACAAGGATTTTTCCATATCTGGGAAGTGGACTGTTTAACAAGGATTTTTCCATATCTGGGAAGTGGTCTGTTTAACAAGGATTGTTCCATGTTTGGGAAGTGAACTGTTTAACAAGGATTGTTCCATATTTTGGAAGTGAACTGTTTAACAAGGATTGATTCATACTTTTGAAATTTCTTTAATTTTCAGACTTTCAAAAATAGTCATTTATAGTGAGCTTAATCTGTGATTACATAAGATTAGTTTTATCTGTTATTATTTTAGTATTTAGTTGAAACATTCCACTTCTTTTTAATGAATTGTGACTTTGATATTTTGTAGTATTTTTAAATGCTCCAAACACATACTTATGTGATAATCTTTAGATTTTGGACAGAAGTTTTCTAACAGCTATGGGTAAGATCTCTAATACGTCTAAACTTATAATATGCTAAAATGTAATATTTCTAAACTGAAAAGCTGTTTCTGCCACGTGAAATTAAATGCATTCAAACTAATACAGTTTGTAATATTTAGAAATAGAATAGCGATGTTTATTAGTTTAAGGTAGGAAATTTATTTTAAATACATACACTTGAAACAGTTTTTGATCTCTTCCCCATCACATAGACTAAAATACATTTATTTAATAGTACATCAAGATGTAAACTTTTGTGTGTGTCTCAGTCATAAAAACGTTTTTATTTGTTCTTCTATGCAACTTGCTACAATAATAATTCAGATTTAAGTTTAAAAATGAGAATAGTCAAATTTCATATATTAACTATTTATCTATAGTTTTTAATCTTGTTATATAGCAAAGTTTGAAGAGAGGAGGCAATTTATGTCAGGAATTTCACCGTTCAGCATTCAATCAATGAGTAGTTTAATTTTTGTTAATCACGTGTCCAGTCTTCTAGTGAAGTTATGAACGATTTTATTTTTAAACAGTTTTCTTTGGGTCTGTGTATATGTTACTAAATAAATTATGAAAAAATGAATCTTTGCAATTTTATTATAGATTACAATAAGTTATTTTGTAAACACGGGAAAATATTGTGGTAATTTTATAAAATAACATTGAAAGAAATTATTCTGATTTAAAATGTATATATTGGTATGAATTGTGTTAGTTACTTTCCAAATGTTTGAACATAATTGTAAAATTGTATGCATTTATTATTGAGTAAAATTTTCAGTAAAAATAATATTTGATTGTTTGAAAAATCAATGAAACAATTTTGTTGTCTTCGTACAAAATGAAAATCTTTATAAATAGTGTGCTTGTGTTAGTCTCTCCGGAACTTTTCTTGCAAATTTCTTAACCAACTGCTACAAATCTCATATCGTAAGGAAGGCCTTTGTCTAAGGAATCCATATTTCATATTAGCTTTTCCATTCAGAATCACATTACCTGTTTTTGGCCAAGTCAAACTTTTCAATGCAAGGAGTATGGTACACGATGGCACAATGTCGTTATCATCATGTGACGGCTGACTTCAATTTTTAACTTTACTTTTTTTATTTGTAAAGTATTTCACACAAACAACACTTAACCCCGTGTAATTCCCCCCTCCCAAAAAAAAAATTCACATTACACTAAATTAATTTCTATGGGCTTTTCTCTATTTATTTAGGTCTAAAATACGCATGCGCAGTTCGTTCAAAAACCATATCCTTATCATTTTGTGAACAGGCATTCAGACGTTTCTACATATTCAGCTAAGTTTGCCTTCATTCCAGCTTTACATTTACTTTATTTTGAAATAATTTAGCTTCGGTTCGTTTCATAGACTACTATAAAAACCTTCTAGCTATTTTTGTGTTCTTTACTATAAGTTTTATTCTTCATTTTATGAGGGTTTTTCAACTGGTAAAAACCTGCCATACATAAACGCTCATGACTGTTTCATACTCTGTGCACTATTATAAATACCATTACTTTATCGTTTACTTTACTTGTAGTTTTATTGAATAAAGTTACGTAAGTGTAGATTTATGTGAGTTTGTTCGTCTGACTGTGTAAACTTTCTTCAAACAGATCAGTATCTATCGATCTGACACACGATGCCTTCAAAAAAGCTTAGCTTAAACGGCGTCCGTGAAAATGACAAAATAAGAAAAGTTCAAGCGAAGGGAGTGTAAACTACTTCAAATGTTTTGCAGGTCACAGATAGTTTAGAAAATTACTTGTGGCAGTGGAATAGCCAGTCTTTGTTGTTGTTTCTATCAGTTTTGTAAATCAGATCTACATTTCTTTTCTAATTAATACAATGTTTTAAAGAAATATATTTTTTAGCGTGTATTTACATATTTGATATTTTCAGTTTACTGAATCATCAACACATAAACTGAACGTTGTCAAGATTCACTCCTTGCAAGTGCAGTGTTCAAATAGATTTTTTTTTTCGGGGAACAAATAGCATTAAATAATATTTCCCAAATGCATTAAATTGGATATTAAACATCCATTAACTTCCTGTACTAGAGTTTGTTGCACTAATTTTTTCTATCTTCTCCTTCACAAAAATAAACTAAAGGACTTTGGTTTTAATTTTGAATTAGAAATCCAACTATTATACAATTGTTACGACAGATTCGATGATTTAAAAGTCGGTAATAGAATTGAAATATAGTCGTCTCAATCCATATTTTTATGAACGCCCTCTTGGAGTGATTCCTCCCCTCTCCATTATTCTGTTGTTTATAGTAATACCTTGTCTACATTTGAAGATGGATAAGAATGTCTGTTTTAAATGGTTGAGTGCGTTATATTGAAACGATTTTGAATATGCAAATCAGTAAGTCACGTGCAGGGGTGTATCCAGCGGGATGGTGTGGGAGAAGAACGTCCATTCGAAGGTTCTGCCCCATTAGAAATAGTCTTTTAAAATTTCTAAACTCTATCTTGTGTCTCTCACTGATAACGAGGTGTTAATGTTCTCGTTCAACTGTCGTATACCTCAAACGGCTGCAGAATGAAATTGGTATTCATACTATGGAATACTTACTTTCTATGTATCTTTTGTATGAACAAATTGTTGAAACGGACACTGAGAAACTATGCTGTATGGATTATGGAAAGCTGGCAAGAAAGAATTTAATTCTTTGGACATTAAAACCTTTCAGGTAACGATGGAATTTTTGTAATGGGAACTATGCTGCAGGATCAGACGTGGCGACATAGACGGTAGTGACATTGTGAAGCTCCAAAACCGTTTTGATGTAATGCACTCAACCTCTATGAACAGCTTGGCCTAGTTGGAGTAATTAGATAATGATCCTTTCAATAAGCACGTGTACACCATGATCGCATTTTCTGTTAGCAATGGCTTTTGAAATAGGGCGAGGAAGAAGAATGTTTATTAAAATTCCCTCTAATAAATAAGTCACCCACATCTACAGAATTTCATCTGGGAACGATAAACAATCCATTTTACGATAATAAAAAAAAGGCCTTGTAATCAGATGGGCATATTCCATTTCAACTACATCAACCTATTTTTACTTCTGGAGTAGAGATTGTAATTAATATTTATTGACATAAGCTTCGTACATAACTTATACAAAAGTGCTTCCTTTTTAATCATATTTTTTCAGCAACATAAATAGCGACACCTACAAACATTTAATATTAAAAATAAAAGGGAATAAGCCGTCATAGGAAATCAATTCCAACACAGCCTCGAAAGAACTAAAACACAAAACAAAAAAATTCTTGTTCAAAGATTAAAAGTATAAAAATATGAGTATGATATGGTCATAGACTGAAATAACAAGTATGCTTTCAATCAGCCACCAAGGAATTTAACTCGAAAAGTTAACTAGTATATGACTGTATGTTGCCATTGACAACCTTAGATCAAAATAAATTACTTCCATACCCAAATACATTGCTTTCTTAATAAGAGATAAGATCTCAGCAGCTTAAACTAGTAAAAACCGGGATTAATTTAATGCATGGACGCATTAACGATAAAGTTTAGATAAGCTCTCAGCAGCTTAAACTAGTAAAAACCGGGATTAATTTAATGCATGGACGCATTAACGATAAAGTTTAGACAAGATCTCAGCAGCTTAAACTAGTAAAAACCGGGATTAATTTAATGCATGGACGCTCTTAAAACTTTTTACTTTATTGTATCGTAAAAAAATAAATAAATAAATAAAACCAGCAAGTAGGCTTCACCAGAATTAACATTTGTATAAAAATCGAATTTTTTGTTAGTTTTAAACCAAGCTAATGGAGTATGATACGAGTAAAACAAAACCAAAAGAAATGTGAATTTGGTAATATATTTTCATTATATATAGGAAACTAAATAAAACTAATGATAACTACGAGATAATCTCTTCCTTTTCTTGCACTTAAATCGAGACGTAAGTTTTGACTCTTCGGTATATTCAGAACATTTTATGCAGTTGGTTTTAACAAAGAAAGATTGGACAAAGTTTAGAAGATTCCGAATTGTTTTTTGTTTTTTTTGTAATAATTATAAAAAAAAATGTCATTATCCATAATTCATTCATGACTACGCGATTTCTTTTCTAAAAGCCTGGAAAATGTCAAAGCCTTAAACTCTGAAGTATTTTTGTTTGTTCATTTTAAATTATTAAGATTGATGTTAAGAGCGTTAAGAATTTATGAAATTGAACTGGTCTACGTAGATATCACCAAACATACTCTGGAGCCTCAGGTAACGTGAAGTTGCTGGAGTAGTTATTCTTGTGTTTACAAACATAGCGAAATCTAGCGCTCCCCATTACAAGCTGTGCTATCAGGAATGGTCGTACACAAAGTTTTTTTTTTACCACTCAATAGCTATGTCAGCGCAGTTGCGGTAGGTTTCTTGCGGACCACAGCCGAGTCGTTCCTCTCCATCATCACACGGGCCAATCCTGTTACCTGTCAAAAACAAACAGATCATGCGTAGTAAAAAAGATAAATTTAAGTTCAACGACTCAAGTTTTTTATTTACATAGAATTAGGCTTCTGACGGAAATAACTGATAAAGTCAACCTTACGTCGCAGGACAGGTTTCAAAAACTGATAAAGCTAACCTTATGTCGTAGGACTGGTTTCAAAGTTCAATTTAGTTTGTCCTTTATATGATTAAAAACGCTCGTCTATCTGTCCAGCTCACTGATAAGTAAAACATTGAATATATTAAATCCTTATTATACAAAACAAGCTTTGAAATCCATTCTGGTTTTCATTATTATAAACAAGATAACTAAATTAAGCGTTGCAAGTAGTAATTCAATATCAACGCTAGCACAGTAAACAGTGTTCTAAAAATTTAGATTTTGTATTTATTTGAAAACACAAAATATCTGTAAGAGTATGTTCAATAATACTGAATGACTCAATATATTTCACGAGAAAACCTGCCAATTCGTGATTACTTGTACCAATATTAAATACAATCGGTTTTATCGAACATTCTTTTTTATGCACATTGGTTTGTCTGGTTGGTTGTTGTTAAGCGCAAAGCTATACAGAGGGCTATCTATGCTGTGCTCACCACGGGTATCGAAACCAGCGTTATAAGCCCTCCAACTTTCCGCTGTGCCAATGGGGGCTATACTTTAGGTAACCCATATAAAGTACCTGTTTGTGATCCTATTGTTCTTAATAACTGATATTCGTCATTATTTATTAAATCTTCTTTCTTTATATTTAACACATTTTTGTTTATTTTTAAGCGTAAAGCTACACAATGGTCCATCGCGGGTATCAAAGCTCGATTTTTAGCGTTATAAACCCTCAGATTTACTGCTGACCCACCGGGGGGGGGACAAGTTTTTAAATATTAATATATTTATCAGTTATCAGTTTTGTAAATAAATACAAAAATTAACTTTTTAGTATACTACTTATTGTACTAGCTTTGATATCGAATCATTGTTTACAAATACACGTCAGGATAAAACATTTAGTTTAATTGTTAATCTTGTTTATAATAAAGAAAACTGAAATAGATTTTCTAAAGAAGTGTTTATAAAATTAATAAAATTAGTTTTGAAATCTGTTATTGGCGATAAATTTCAACAATAAATAAACAGCAACACAGTCCACTTGTTTTAACAAATATATAATAATACAATTTAAACGTATGTACAAATGTTCAATACGCTGCTGGTTATCATAGTTGTATCCAAAGCTTCAGTGTACCGAATATTTTTATGTTACTTAAACTCTTTGCCACACTGTCGCTAAGTTCATGTTCATATGAACGTTCGGCATCTGCTCTCTGTCAGTTTAATAATTACCTGAGGTGAACACAAGCTAAAGAAAGACTGAATACTCTAACTTTAATACATAATCATTATGACACATATTTGAAACTTTATGTAAGTTATTTATGGAAAAGTAACTCGGAAGAATGGAGCACGCTATCATGTTATTTCAGTTGTACATACATGTACATATATGATAGCAAATGATTGAATTGGCTGATATACTATTGTTGTACAGAGTTATTTAAATTAGTAATATAAATAGCTATTCCGCATGTAGATAGTACAGTAGTTTGATGATGATTAGTTAACTTTTCATTGGATGTTTGTGGATTTTATGTAAATATGATATCTTTTTGCTTTTTCACTATTTGGGGGGATATATGCTCCCCCCCGTAGCATCATTACCACGCTTTGCACGCTGATCTTCTCACACCATGGGCCAGAGAAATATATTTTTTCGCAGAAAACTTATCTTGATTTAAAACTTTTATTGACTGCATTTTCCTGTTACGTTGAGGACAAGTTTAAAAACTGCTAGTCCTTAACAGGCGGGTACAGTCCATAAAAACAGTTTTCCAATTTCGTGCAGGCTCCTCTGCAGTTAAACATTCTCGAATAACTTACCTGAAAACCAGTGCCACCGGATAACGCAATAGTTACAGCTCACGTTCTCGGGAAGTTTAACCCTGGTAAACTGGAGCTCGGACTTGTTCGTAGGAATATGGAAAATTGTTCCAGATCCATCAGAAAGCTCCAGGATATGTTTATCAAAACATTCATTGGTTTCTTTGTCTTCCTTGTCGTTCCGAGGACACAGGGAAAACTGGAACCATCCAAGATGGTTCGATGTTAGATCTATAGTGACGTCAATGTCTTTCCCGACTTTGTAGCGACCGACGATAATATTCTTAGCATATTTTCCACCAGTCTCGTGATCACGTGGTCGATCCTCTTCCCAAGGGTCACCACATTCACCGCAACGGCCGGCAACGTTGCTGGACCATTGTTTCTGAAATAAATATATATATATATATAATAACAGGTGTATATCTTATGAAACTCACATATAACGAAATGAACAACTCGGAGGCAGGCAAACTGAACTAATATCAAGTCATTAACAGTCGATCTTGTTGGTTATTTAGAATAATTTGTGTTTGTATTTTGTGTTTATGACAAAACTTCTAAGTTTATCTGCTACTGCCCCTAATTTTGAACTACTGACCGGAGGGAAGGTTGCCAGTTAATCAGCATCCTACAACCCACTATCCATGCTAAGGGATTGACTGTCATTCCTATAACGCACACACAGCTTAAAGTACGGGGAATATTTTGTGGTATCGCACGGATTCGAACCCTGCCTGCCAGCTCCGAAATATAAAGCTCCATCACAGGGCCAACCTGCATTCTTTAAACATCAGATGGACACTGTCGCTGTTAACGATATTTTCGGCCGTAATCCCATAAAGTTCGGATACCTTTGGAATTTCAGGCTAGTCTTGAATATTCTATCTCTTCGTTGAGTAACCTTCATGGTTTCTGTGGGACTCTTACAAAAATAGCGGCTTTACTCTTTCGCTAAAACTACGGCTGATCAGGTTGAGGGTTTGGTGCCCAGGACAAATTTTGAAGGGGGCTTCTCAGAACTGAATTTCATAAATAAGTCAAATACTATTTATTGACCAAAGTTTGAGCATTACACAAACACAAGCGATGAGTGTATAATATACAAATAATAATTCTAATATTGATAATAAATATAAAGAATGACAATGAATGTTTTGTTAAATGGCCGTGCAAATATTAAGATCATGTTGATGAAAAGTTATAAAATAAAAGGTTTATATAAAACGACTAAAATTACTATTGTAATAGTGAAACAGTTGCAAATGTATGTTTGTCTGTTTTTCAATGAGACATCCAGTTGTCCCCTGGTAGGTCAGGGAAATGTCTACGGTTCGATTCTCCGAGGTGGACAGAGTGCAGATAGCTCATTGTGCATCTTTGCATTCAAACAATAACAAAACAACGTCATCTAGTTTTTCATTATTTTTCTCTTAGTTGAAGGGGAAAGGGGGGCTTTGATGTAGAAGGTTCAGGGCAAATACACTCATTTGCTCCTCCCTTTAATTTGGCCCTGGTAGAGATGGTAGTAAATTTAGGTCTCGAACCCAGCTTGCTCCTAGATTTTCCAGTTTTATTTTCTGCGATATTTCGATCAACAGAATATCATAACCCTTATACATTTATAGCTGTATCATATACATCTTCGGACTACAATGAACCAAAAAAAAAACAGTGTTTACTCGTTAGACATGAGTGCTGAAAGTACGGGGTGATAACAAAGAAAAATTATTTCTTACAAACTATTTGCTTTAGAGGAACAAAATTCACAAAAAAACGCAATGAGAGTCATAAGACTTATTCATGAAAGTTTTTCCATGGTCCAGAGTGTTTCTCAGAAGGTGTTCAGTATTTATTACTTTATTATTGATCAGCAAGTTAAGTCTTCTTCTCAAATGAAGGCACCATTTGTTTGTTCTGAATAGTATTCATCGATTCTCGCTATATCCTGCACTCCAGCACTATTAGTACGGGAAATTACTATATGTTATCCATCCTTTTAACTCGCCCCCCAGTGGCACAGCGGTATGTCTGCGGACTTACAACGCTAGAAACCGGGTTTCGATACCCGTGGTGGGCAGAGCACAGATAGCCCTTGTGTAGCTTTGTGCATAATTAAAAACAAACAAACCTTTTAGCTCAAAAAAGTGACTTTTTTAAATTATGGTGTTATTCGTAGTTTCATTTTTCGATGAAGTAAGTAACTTACTACCTTTTGCTAATTGTTAATTAGCATATTTTGTTAATTGGCATATTTATGTTCATGCTCTTTCTAGGGAATTGAGATTTCGTGTTTTTCTGCTTCTTTGATTTGTTCAGCAGAGGCCTCGCAGAATTCTTCTGATATTTCTTTTGTTTAAAGTAGCGAATACTTTAAAAGTTTTTCCATTAGATTTGTATACAGTTTTTAGTTGTTTTTTTTTAATCTTTCATTGTGAAATCTTATAGCTCTTACATAATGATTCTAAGCGTTCTTCACTTTCCTTGAGTATTCAGTAGAGTCATTTTAGTTTCTTCTGTGTTTCGTTATTTGATTTGAACTGTTTGCGAGATACGCACACTCTCACTTTTATTTGCACTCATTGATCATCACAAGTGAACTGCATGCATTACCGCGAAGTCTGCTAGTTTCCATTTTCGAAGGAATTTGAGCCTTAAGGTGAATTGAGTTTAGTGAAATTCAATAATAACTTAGATTTCACAGTATTCGTATATTTTACTTTATAGTGACTTCACTTAACTTGGAGTTATTTTCACTCAGTGTTTTCATCTTTAAATATGGTGTTTTCTATACTGTAGTCTTCGTGGTGTCTAGTTACAACACCAAAAATTGTTGTAGTATAGATAACACAGACCTGCGAATTTAAACTTCATAAAAGTTGTTTTGGTTTTGATAACGGATTTTCCATAATTCAGCTACGCAGATTTCGAAAATAATATTCATTTTTTTTCTATCGCGTAAGGATTTTTTTTACAAATCGGGAAGGAAAAAACACTCTTACTTAGATCAAATTATTATTTCGTTTACCACAACGAACATTTTTTATTATAATGTTTGTTAACAAAAATATAAACTGAAGAAAAGTGGAAAATTATAAGCATTATAAATCTATTTTATTCACCAGGTAGGCAATGTAAACGTAGAAATCCCCACAGCCGTTAGGTTAGATAGAAGAAGCGTATATTACCATATCAGCTGAGTTAGATGGTAGCAATGTAAACCCACATAGCCGCTAGGTTAGATAGAAGAAGTATATATTACCATATCTGCTGGGATAGATGGCAGCAGTGTATATTTTTGAATAGACCATAATATAACTAGAACTTTCTTTTATCTTAAGTGCCCCCCAGTGGCACAGCGGTATGTCTGCGGATTTACAACGCTAGAAACCGGGTTTCGATACCCGTGGTGGGCAGAGCACAGATAGCCCTTGTGTAGCTTTGTGCATAATTAAAAACAAACAAACAATTTATCTTAAGATTTAAAAGTCCTGACAGTAAAATAATTCAAAGAGAGAAAGTATTTTGTAACTTTACCAGTAATAAATAATATACTAGCTTCATACTAAATATATTTCCACAAAACCTCCTTCCCTACCAATATGAAACATAAAAAAAGAAACAAATTAGCATTGTGTTCTGAGATAACATGAAGACCAGGATTTGATTTTCTTTAGGTTCTAAAAGTGTGATTCACGCATCTTTAGAAATTCAAATATTGATATATATAAACCAAGAGATGTTCCTTACCTTGAGTCCTCCACAGTAAACTGCTGTGTCATTATGATTTTCTGGTACATCGTGACCGTGTCTCCATAACATATTACGTGCAGGGGGCAAGATCATTCGACCGTGACCCCATACTTGAGATATGAGTAAAAGCACAATAGTGATGCTATACTCTTTAAACAGGTTCATCTTCAAACTTTTAGACTGTACTGACCAGCTAGCTATCGTTTAAAGTAATTCAAAAGTAACGTAAGGATAATTCAGACCTAACTTAAGGTAAGGCCTAGTTTATAAAGAGTTGAAAATGTTGTTGGCAGTATCGATGTTCTCCCTTCGTTTCTACAACCCACAAAGCTTTCCATCAATCACATGCTATGCGCTGGAAGCTTATAAAGACGAAGAATTCGTTTTTTTTACTTTTTTAATCCTCAGACTGCTCCTGGAAGTCACCAAAATAAACTTGTTTTGCTCGTTACCCTTGTATCAACCCTTTTCTTACGCTATGAAAAGTCTTCGGTCACTGCTGCGGTTATTAACCTGTTAAACTTTCTCTCGGGTTCATGTCCGGCAAAAGGTAAAAGTCAAACAGGAAGTTGTTTCTAATGAGATTCTTTTTACTATTGAGGAACACTCCAGAAAAATGTCGCAATTCGATATATCAGTAAAAGTTGCCAAACATAAAAGGTTCATTTACCCTTCAGTGAAACATAAAATGTATTTTTCCCCCTAAGATCCACAGTTGTAAAATATATATGTTAAAGTATGGGAAATATACCCGTAAATATGGTCATCATTCTCCTTCTCATAGTTATTAAGCAATGAATTTCGCACGAATACAAAGGAGAGAAGAATGTTATAACATTTTTAGCAATAAACTGGTAGTTTTGATCTAAATATGTTTTCTTTTCTTTATTTATTATTTGGTTAAAACACAAATACGCACCAGATGTACTTCTGCAGGGTCCCCGAACATGTTCTGTTTCAGAGTAAATAAAACCAAAATTAAGAGTAATAAATATTTTTATTTTTTGCTTTTGAAGTTCATATTTCATGCTTTGTTGTAGCCTACAGGGTGCATTATTCTTCTCGTGATTCATGGTATACACACGTTTTACTGACGTCACAACAGTAAAAATTTCAACATTAAGCGCCCTTTATGTGATGTCATTTTTGTGTACACTGACCGACTGACTGACGGACAACATATCACTATATAGTGGTGGGAATGATTAAAACAAGTGACTCCTCCATGGGGACCTTCTATCGGCCCTTTACGGAGAAATAACGAGGGGACGCTGTGGGAAAGCAATAGAATAATTTGGTTCGTGTCTGTTGCCAACCTAAATTGATGGACAGTTATAAGCTCCATCAAAAAAGCGTATATATTGTATGTTTAATAACAAAACGGAAAATTTGCCCTTCATGAACCGTCACTGACTGAGAAACAAATTTTCGACTTCGGTAATACTGCAATTCTCATGCAATTGACTGTTTTTTTTAAAGGTGAACAGGCATGTCAAACTGTACACCACAAAACCACTGACGTACATCCAGGGAAGAAAATATGGCGTTATAACGTTTCAGAATTGAGAGACCATCTTTAAACAAACCCCTTGAGTCGTGAGTGATTTCAAGGGAAAGAATCACTGAAAAAATAATAAAGACCCATGAAATATAGTTAAAAAGATATTGTTTTCTTTGAACTTGTGTATAATGTTAAAATAATAAATAAATAACACACAACGTTAAAATTAATACACAATTAAAAACATTTCTAACTCTACATGTTTCGACGTTTACCACGTCATCATCAGGATTTATGCAGAAATGTAAACTTACACACAGGTCACATGATCTAGCTAAGAAGAAATAAACATCATACTTATGCCTAGCAAGTTCACTTCTGATGATGACGTAGTAAACGCCAGAACATGTAGAGTTCACATGTTAATTGTGTATCGTTGTGTGTGTAATTTGTTTATTATTTTTAGATAAATAGATGTTCGCTTCCGAAGATAACACAAACATGGACGTCAGTCTTCCGTCTAAAGGATTAAAGTTGTTTTTGTTTTTCATTTATTGGTATCAAACAAGAATAATAGATCGTGTATGTTACCCTTCAACCCGAGTCTTTCTCTGTGGTTTTATTATAGGGTCGATACTTTGTTACAAAACTGGTTCTATCGAAAGATATTTAGATGATTATTTACACAAACATTTTCATTTCCTCCAAAGGCAAATGAACTGCTTCTATCTGTCAATGCAGCATATTTACGACCTGGCTATGCTATGTGGATAGGGCGCTCGACTCGCAATCTGAGGGTCGTGGGTTCGAATCCCCGTCCCACCAAACATGCTTGCCCTTTCAGCCATGGGGGAGCTATAATGTAACGGTCAATCCACTATTCTTTGGTGAAAGAGTAGCCCAAGAGTTGGCGGTGGGTGGTGATGACTAGCTGCCTTCCCTATGGTCTTTCACTGTTAAATTAGGGACGGCTAGCGTAGCTAGTCCTCGTGTAGCTCTGTTAAGAATTTTCAAGATATTCCTCTGATCAATAAAATATTGTTAACTAAATTATAATTTTCAGGGGGGATATAGATGTCGCTCTTAATTTTCTGATAAGCAGCATGTTTATTTAAATATGGTCTTTATAGCAGACATTGTTGATGGCTGGCATCTAGGTTTTACTTCTTATAATTCAGTATGGTGGTTAAGGAACTCTCCCATCCTATTTTCGTGAGAATCCAAGAAAACATTAAAAGAGATCAGAGTTCTATCGTGGCTCTAGCAGGGTAAACTGTGTAAAGTATCTGAGCTCAGCAACAAGGATAACACGTTGTATTGTTAACTAAAAATGAACAGGTATTCCTTAAGAAGGTGTTACGCCTCCAGACGTTAGTTAATTTTCCGTAAATTCGTTCCGACGAAACTTTAGCGACACAAGTCCTTTCTTAAATAAAACTGGTTTATTCTTTCCGAATACAACTTTACGATACACTTAATTTCAACAGTCGCTCTATAACAAACGCTCACGTCTCACGTGGCCAACAATATTTTATCCGCATACATTCAATTACTCATTGCACTGTACACTGTCCCCTTACATTGTGACCATCTTATATATACCAGACTAACCCCAATCTAGTAATCT